AAGTCTCATTTTCTTGTGCCTTCAAGTCATCAAACTCATGAACCAAATAAGACTCTTCTCCAAATTTGATACCAAGGAGATTCCCGAGCTGGCTTCTGCCCTTCGTCAAATCCCTCTTTTTACTTATTGGGTTATACACACAATCGTTGCTTCCACCGCTGAAATCTCAAGCTATCTCACAAATACCGAGTAAGTTCCTGTTAGATAAATACGACTCTCCACAATAGTACGATATTGTCACTTTGAGCATAAGCTTTCGTAGCTTTATTTTGGGCTTCCCCCAAAAGATCTCATGCTAATGGAGGGAGTATTCCTTAATTATAAATCCATGATCATTCCCTAAATTAATCGACGTAGGACTTTCATCCAACAGTTTCAACGTAATTATGTAATTTTGATGGTGTTTTTGATGGATTTCAGGGGCCAATCACAAATTTACTTGAATGAATTGAATGAGAGGCTTAATGCTATCCTCAACATACTTGGAGATTATTTGAATATTTTTCAAGAACAGCTAGGTTGATTATTATATTAAAGCTTGATTATTTATTTATTTATTTATTAAGATTTATGTTCCTTGATTATTCATGTTGAAAGTGCTTGGTTTTGTGTGGTGCAGGGGAGATTAATCTATTTAGGTGGCTTATTGATCATATTGATCTGTATCCTACTGAAATAACGTTAGTTGTGTCTAAGCTGCTTGAAGGCAAGGTTAATGCTAAGCCTTTGATAAATTGTTCCACTCTCATGGAGGTAAGTTATGCATATCATTTATTGATTCTTTTTTTTTTTTTAGCTTTTCTTGGTCGATGGAATATGCTTCAACCAATCGATCTATGCTCAGTTAGAGATGTCCATGGAACAGGATGGGACGTAGAGGCCTTTTCCATCTTCGTCTCTATCTCCTATTTCAATTTTTATCCCTTCAAAACTTTTAATTTAATTTTGCGAGGACCGAGATGGAACGTGAGATCTCACATTGGTTGGGAGGAAAACGAAGCATTCTTCACAAGAGTGTGAAAACCTCTCCCTAGCATATACATTTTAAAAACGTTGAGGAAAAGTTTAAAACGAAAACCCAAAAAATGACAAGCTAATGGTGGACTTGGATTGTTATATAGAAAAATTCTTCATAAAAAATAGATCACTGAATTTTTCTCATCCTTGTATATCTTTAAAAAAAATTATTTCAAAGAAAATTTTTCTAGAATAATTTCAATAATATAAAACATCTTAGTAAATTCAATAGTATTTATTATATTGAACATAATTTCTAAAAACTCAAATTTCAATATTAAAATACATCCATATAAAATGAACGGGACAAAGATTTGGAGGGATCACGAACAACAATATAATTTGGTTCGCAACCCCTTCGAGCTAATGAAAAAAAATTTCTATTAACTTCTCCTCTTATTCTCCCACTTAAACACTGAGATCAGTCCTAGGCCATTTAGGTTAAATGGATATCTCTATGCTTGGTGTCAATTTATCCACATTATTTGGATCTAAAATTTGATTTTCTTTAATATACGTATTTTTATAGGAAAAAATCGAAGATGCATTGAGAGAGAAGAACGTGATATTACTTATTTCTGGATTGGAAATTTCAAATGATGATATTCGAGCTCTGAATTTAATGTACGATGAATTGAAAAGAGAAGATAATTACAAAATCGTATGGATTCCTATGATCAATTCCCAAGATTTTGATGAAGAAACTCGTAAAAGATACGAGCTGGTGAGGTCAACAATGAAATGGTATGCGGTGCAATATACCACAAAAATTGCTGGATTAAGATTCTTAGAAGAAATTTGGCAAGTTAGAGAGGATGCTTTAATGGTTGTTCTTGACTCAAAATCAAAGGTGAAATTTTCAAATGCAATTCACTTGCTTCGTGTTTGGGGAAACAATGCCATTCCCTTTACAGTTGAGAGAGCAAATGCTTTATTGAGGAAGAATTGGCCTGAATCAACCATTGTGAAGTTCATCAACCAACCAAGATTACAAAGCTGGGTATGCAATTTCTATTCGCATTTGTATTCATATTCATGTTTAATACGTTTCTGAACGCTTAGAGCTGTCGTTTTATCAGATTGATCAAGAAAGGAGTATCATATTCTACGGAGGAAAAGATCAGAATTGGATCCAACGATTTGAAGAGAAAGTGGTGGACATCAAGAACGATAGATCAATGAGAGACGCTGGAATAAATTTCGAAATTGTTCCGGTAGGAAACAATATAGACAACAATAATGCTTCGTTCATGTCTCGTTTTTGGATTACACAATGGGGATTTTTTGTAGTCAAAAGCCAATTGACCGGCTCAAGTGCCAGCGAAACTACAGAAGACATCCTACGATTGATTTCTTATGAAAATGAAAACGGTTGGGCTATTCTTACGGTTGGCTCAGCGCCTTTGCTTGTGGGTCGTGGAAACCTAATTCTTAGAGTGTTTGAAGATTTTAACCGATGGAAAAAGAATTTGAACCTAAAGGGTTTTCCGAATGCTTTCCAAGATTATTTCAATGAGATGGCTCTCCAGACTCATCAGTGTGAACGAGTGACTCTTCCAGGGTTTAGTGGATGGATTCCTATGATTGTTAATTGCCCTGAGTGTCCTCGCTTCATGGAGACAGGTATTAATTTCAACTGCTGCCATGGTCGTAATCCTAACAATTGAGAAGCTTGGATCCGGGGTTGACGAATTAACTATATATACTACTAAATAATAGGGTTAACCCCTTTGTTGCATCTCATGTATGCCTATTAGGGCACATGGTTTTACCATATCAAAATCTTCAAATTTTCTATTAATACTATGCATATGCTACTAAATATTGAAGCCATTTGGCCCTTTTTCGTTGCTTCAAAATCTTCTATGTATGTTACTGATTGGAATAATATGAACTTTACTTTATGATAGCAAGCCAACTGAATTTTCTCTTTCACTGTTATTAGTCTTGATTCTTTGTGCCCTCATGACTCCCTTTTTCACACTTCTGCTCGCCTTGCCTTACCTTTACGTTAATAGCTTTCTGTTTGTCTGTAATTTGTGTTAGGAATAACGACTCTCCGTAATAATACGATATTTTCCACTTTGAGGTGGTACGATATTGTCCACTTTAAACATAAGTTCTTGTGGCTTTGATTTGAGTTTCGCAAAAAGTTTGGTACCAATAGAGATATATATTTTTACTTATAAACCTAGAATAATTCCCTAAATTAGTCAACGTGGGACTCCCTCCCAACAATCCTCAACAATTTGAATATGGGGAGGAGTCACTATTGGGGTAATAGGATAAAGTCCAATAATTATCGAATGATGTGGATGTTAAAATATCATCTCTAGTCTAATAGGATAAAGTCCAATAATTATATAAGCTAATTGTCTAAATTTTTTTGTTTTAGTCAATTATCCAAAAGTTTATAAATGTTTTAGAAAGATTTAGATAGATATTTCTGTTTACACGGGTAATCGAGAAGGGAGAAGGAAATTTTTTTTCTTGTAGTTGGCTCTACCGTGTCTCCGGGAATATTTTTCATATGTATCCCTCCATTTTTTAATTTTTTTTATATAAAATGTGGAGGACTTTCCCCACTATTAGTAAATATTGTCAATTTTGGTCAATTACCCATCACCGTCAAGCTAGCGGTTTTAAAGCACATCTTAGTCTAGCGTCTTCACTGGCACACCGCTTGGTGCCTAGCTCTGATACCGTTTGTAATAGCTCAAGCCCACCACTAACAAATATTATCTGCTTTGGCAGCTACCTATCGTCGTTAGACTCAAGACCTTAAAACGTGTCTATTAGAAAGAGAATTTCACACTTTATAAGGAATGACTCCTTTTCTATCTTCTCCAATCAACATGAGATCTCGCCAAACTTTTAGAAATTATATCTAACATTTTAATTATATTTTAGAATAAGATTGTTTTATTAGAACATTCAAAAAAAAAAAAAAAAAAAAAA